CCAAAGAAATACCGGATATCATTATTATTTCAACCAAAAGATAGCTAATTAATTAAGGAGAGCGAGAGAGGCGTTTGCATTGCAAACGGCGCTATCCCTCACCGACCTGAAGGACGGTGTATCTCGCGCAAAATATGATGAAACAGCAGCGCAATGCATGTCAGCCTGAAAATGAGTTTCAAAGTTCGATCTTCATGTTTGGCCCAAACTGTGCGGTAGCACTCTTTATTTTTATCGCCATGGCTTGCTCAATTACTTTCTTTTGGCCAGCGGGTGAAACTTTCTATACATTGTCTGAAATGCTCTGCGGATTGCTGCTTGTGGCCTTACCGACAACATTAATAGCCTCTTTAATGGATTCTGGCGTATTGGATGTTGGTCGAAAAGAATAACATCCTGCCGCGCTTTCTCAAATTGGTGCCGCGAACTGGAATCGAACCAGTGACACTCGGATTTTCAATCCAATGCTCTACCAACTGAGCTATCACAGCAGTTTTTGGTGGACGCGGAAGGATTCGAACCTTCGGAGGCTGAGCCCGCAGGGTTACAATCTGCTCACGTTGACCGCTTGTATACACGTCCGAATAATAAATTTGGTGGAGACGGAAGGAATTTTCACCTTCACAGCCAGGGGCGTCCGATTTACAGTCGGGTGGGCTCAATCATGCCCAGCATCTCCGTTAGTTCTTCCAACCTCACCTTATGGCAAGGCTTAATTATTGGCGCCTCGGGCGGGACTCGAACCCGCGACCATTGGATTTTCAATCCAACACTCTACCAACTGAGTTACCTCGGCAAAATCTTTATTAGCGCCACCAATGCCAGTCTTGGCGCGATGGGCTTATTAATGGCTTTGACCAACCTAACCATCCCAAAGCTCACAACCAAATTGTTGCTACTTACTGCCTCGGGAGCTGCGTTCAGCCTGATAATCACACTTATTGCAGCACTCTTTGCTGACACAATAGAATCCAGTGGAGACTTTTAGCCTTTCCTATCTACTTTACGCCAACTCACCACCATTGGGTTTTCAATTCAACGTTCTACC